GCACAGGCAGGCCAGGTTCGCATGGAGGAGAAAAGCTCCAATTTTCACATTTGCTTTAACATGCTCCCTTCCCATTGCCACCAACGAAAGCGAACGCATGCACTTGAAAATGCCCTTAAAATCAGGAAGAAATGCCATGGAGATGCAGGGTGGCCCTGGGGTGTGCCCAGAGTGGGCACCCTGGCAGCAAACGGGAGGGGGCCGTGGTGTGTCTCTGGGGAGATGGGGTCAAAGAACCCGCCTGGCACAAGGAGCTGCAGGTTGCAGAGCAGCTCTGGAAAAGGAAGGATTTGTCTCCTGGAAACACATCTGGATTTCAAAGCCACAGATCAGATTAGATGCTCCTCCTGTGAGGAAACATCACTGCAGAAATGGAGGCGCCCCCACTGTGGTGGTGCAGGACCCACTTTCTCTGGCCATCGACCTTGACGGATGGAAAGGCGCCCTTCTCGGTAACAGGCCCTAAGGCACAGACGTAAAGTTAGAAACAGTTAGCAGAGTGCATAAAACGATGCGAGGAGCCGCTGCCAGGGTTGCCGGTGCTACAAAAGCACCGGGGTTGCCGGGGCCTGTCTACAAAACCACGTTGGAAGCATTTAAAAGGAACCAGTAGCTTCAAGCAGCATTTAGGAGAAAGGAAAGGTAGCCGCGTGAGTGTGTGGTGCTGTCAGGCACGGGGGCATTTACCAGTAAATCAGGACACCAGACCCAGCTACGCATGGGCCACTCTCGGGCCTCGGGCATTCCCCTGGAAATGCAAGATCACCTTCTTCCTTAGGAACTCTTACGCCAGTTCATTTTATTTTAGATAAAAGGCCTCTTTTTTTCAAAGCCACGTTCAGTTAGCCCAGTATAAAGGACAGATGCAGTGACACGTTGACGTTGCTTAGATATTTGATATAAAGGGTGTGACTGCTTTTTAAGGAAACTTTGCCCGGTTTTAAATGTGGTAGGTGACTTAGGAACATCAGACAGCCGTTCCACCACATGATCTTGGTTTCCCAGCCCCAGAAGAAGAACTGGACATGAAGAAATGTGTTGTAGTCTGTTACCCGTGTCCCCCCAAATTTATATGTTAAAATCCTAGCCTCTGGGACTTCAGAATGTGACCGTATTTGGAGATGGAGCCTTCAAAGGGGTAATTAATGTTAAACGAGGTCGTCACGATGGGCCCTGATCCAATATGACGGTGTCCTGCTGAGAAGAGATTAGGACACAGACACGTACATAGGAAGAGCTTGTGAGGACACAAGGAGAAGATGGCCCTCCCCCAGCCAAGAGAAGAAGACTGACCAGGAGCGGATCCTGCTGACACCTTGGTCTTGGACGTCCAGCCTCCTAAGCTGGGAGAAATCCGCGTCTCTGGCTTAAGCCCCGGGCTCTGGTCCCTTGTTATGGCTGCCTGAGCAGACTGATACTGATTTTTGAGGCGTTGGACCTCATCTTTAATTATTTGATAGGTCTCAGTGAGCAAATAGACTTTGATAAACAGAACTTCCCAAACAAGGATGTGATGTATATCAGTGTCATGTTTCCTTTCTAGTCTCTCTCAGTTCATTGGTTGGGGTTTTTGTCAAAGCTGCGTCTAAACACTGGAAAAATCATAGGATAATTTACCCTCATAATCCCTTTCCTGGTCATTTGATTACCTGCTTGACGTTGTCCCCAGTCCGCTAACTCTATGAGGCCAGGAAGTTTCTCAACACAGAGCCTGGCGCGTTGTAGGTGCTCAAGAAGTATTTGTCTGATGAGCGAATAAAGAAATGGTTCGACCCTGACTCTGCACTATGAATAATGGAGTGCAGGTCTAAAAAGGTTACATTCATTGTATATTCACAGCACCAAAATGTCACTATGTTGGGTGTGTAATGGCTTATTTCCATGCGAACAATTTAAACGAAGCCAAATGCATTCCTTGTGAGTCCCACTGAAACACGGTGTGACGTGGACGTGAGCCCTCCCACAGTCCTGCGGGGGCTCGACCTGATCAGCGACCCACCGGCCCCGGCTGACTCGCGGGGCCGGCCCTGCCCGGGGCTGCCTCACGCGCTCCCACCGGGGGAGGCCCACTCTCGCCACCCCCGTTTCTGAGCCCCACAACCTCTCTGCCGGGTAGAAAAGGCAAGGAGCTTCCTCTCCGGAACCGGGCTTCCGTCAGCACCACCCCCAGGAACCGCGTCGCCCTGACGTGCTCGGGAGCCCCGCAGCCTCGGAGACAAGCTCCGCCTCCCACCCGCCATCCTTGCTCTCCCCGTCTGCTTGCCTCTGATGGGACTGCAGGCACAGTCGCCCTGGCCAGGCCCAGGCGGGGCGGATTCGGGGACACCCACACCCCAGCTGGCTCCCCAGTGTCCCTGCTGCAAACGCAGCCCCGGGCTCCTGGCCACGGCTCCGACCCCTTCCAGGCGCGGAGCCAGGGTGCCATCACCAGAGGTACGGTCATTTCTGTCCCTCTTCCAGGGGGAGGGGACGTTTACTCATTCCTAGAAGCACACCCCTTGTCTCCGGTGCCCTTTGTTCACACCGAGGCAAGGCTCGCTTGGAACCCTGAGCCTGGAGGCTGGGGACCCCCTTGGTGATGGCGTCCAGGCTATGAGACATTGCTGGAGTCCCCACAGGAGCGACTGTGTCTTGTCCTTGCTCTGCGGTGGTGGAGGCCCAGGCTCCTCCGGGGTCCTGTGGCCCGTCTGGGAGCCCTAGGCTCAGGACAGACCTCGGGAGGCCCGAGCACCAGCCCGGCAGCCTTCCCGCCCTGCCCGCGCAGAAGCACCCCCCGCAGCGGGTTAGCCCTCACTCTGGGCCTCGCTTTCGCTCGCCCCGACTGGCCCCTGCTCTGGCAGGGATGGGGCCAGACCCTATATTTTAATACCAGGTCTTCAGGCATCGAGTATGCAGGGGTCACTGGCCCCGACTTTTGGAAACATGGCTCTAGAAAATAAAAACAGGCTGCAGTTGCTGAGACGCGCATTTGTTGTCCTCTTCAAAGGCAGGGTCAGAGAGGCCTCCCTGCTGGCTGGGAAGATGCGCTCTGCAGGGTGCACAGGAACAACGATGATGGATTATCGGAACTGAATTAACTCACGTGCGGTGGGGGGGGGCGGGGGGGGCGGGGCGGGGCGGGGACTGCCTTCGGAGTCAAAGGGCCTGGGACGCAGGCGCCACGTGAGCTGCTGGTCCCTTGTCTGCAGCGCCAGCCACGGAGAGGGCTGCTTCACGCAGACTGGTGGGGGGAGCCTCAGAAGCCGGGGGAGGGTTTCTCAGCCTCACCTGCCCACCCGCTGGGATCCCACTGGGTCTCTGACTTCGTCGTTCAGAGATGGAGCTGCCCTCACAGGCTCCCGGGGGATTCAAGCACCACCTGGGCTGGGAGCCGCCAAAGTCAAGCAGAGCCACCTGGAAAAAGTTGCCAATGGTATTTGGATGTTTTTTTACATGACGTTTTAAGATGACTTTCCTGTCTACTTCTTTACTTATCTTTTGTCATCTTTTGAGTTTGCACCTTCCCACCTGTCTTTAAAATATGACCACGTGGGCCGTGATGGAGGTGGCCATGGGAAAGGAGGGAAAGAGAAAAGCCGAGAAAGTCGAGCTGGCCACCTTCCCACGTCTAACCGTGCAGGACCCACGGGCCTCGGGTGCTGATGCCGCACGCCGGGGTCCTCCCGTCAAAGTCCAGCTGCAGAGGAGTGTTACAGGAGGAAATGAATATTGTGCTCTCTTACCGTGCCTTAGGAAAGAGGACAGCTTGCTGTCACCCCATGCAGACCGTTCCCCCTCCTCGAAAAGACCAGCAGCCCCGTGACTCGGTTCGCCATTCTCAAAGTGTGCCTCCTGGGGCGCCTGCCTCGGAGTCTCAGGATGTCGGTTAACATGCAGCTGCCTGGGCCCCGCCCACAGGTCTCCGGAGCTGGGGAGCTTGCCCTTGGGAGCTGCCGCGAGATTCCCGGGCACTGCGGAGGTGGGGAGCTACCCCTCGATGCGGAGCACCCAGGATGCCCTCAGGCTCCCAAAGGGAGGACTGTGGGTGGAGGGAGGCTGAGTGGCCGCCAGTGTTATTTTGGACCCTGTGCAGTTCCATGCAAGGCCTTCTTGTAAGTGCTGGAACAATGGACGTCCCGAGAGGGGCTTGGGACCCCACACGTGTTCACAAGTGCTGGGGTCTGTCAGTCTCCGTGTGGCTTCCTGCAGGGCGTCACTCGTGCCCACAGTGGAGACAGCGGGGACGGAAGAGATTTTTCGTCCTGTGCCTACCTGGTTCATGCTGTATTAACAAGCACAGCTCACTGTTGTGGTCACACTGGCGAGTGACTGCTAGAGCCTATGGTCTGCCTGTTGGGAAGCATAAGACACCCGATCGCTACATGGACAGCAACTGAGAGGCAGCCAAACCACGCCTGTCTGGGTCCAACCCCCTGCACCCCATTCTGATCCGCGGTTCTCAGGGCCATCATGCCAGTCTGGGCAGCTGTCAAGCTGGAGCATTGGATGGCCGCTGTTTTTCTCTGGGAGTTGACCCCGGTGACGGCAATCCTGGGGAGGGACTGGACTCCGGTCTGCGCCTGCAAAGGGAGCAGGGGATGGAGGCTGGGGGCTCCCCATACTCACATCTGCTCTCAGGGGAAAGGCAACTCACCTCCCCGCAAGCCCGGGTCCCAAGCCCCCGCCCTCCTCCGAGCCTGTGCCGGGGGCTCCTGGGCCTGGTGGGGGGGAGATTAGAAAGGTTTGACGACCCCATCACACCAACACTAGTAAGTAAACTGCGAAGGGACACCAGCAGCAGAAAGCAGTCCCTGGTCGGAGGCCGCTTCTGGAGCGCACTGTCTGCTCACGCGCAGACCTGGGCTCGCCGCCCTTCAGAAGGGCTGCTCGGAGCGGGTGCTGGCGGTGGGGTGAAGGTCTTGGACGAGAGTGTTGGGCACAGTGTCCCGTGGGCCCCTGAGGGTCCCCTGCCTGCATTAGAGTGGACTGCTAAAATAATTGAGCTCTTTCTCCATTTGCAGGAGACCCTGGCATCACCCGACACGAAAATGATTTCATCCGTGGCCATTTCACAGCTGATGGATGAGAGCAAGTCCAAGGAAGATGGGGCCACCGTGCCCGTGCTGCGCGTGGACGCGCAGCCCCCCGTGTGGCCCGGGAAGCAGACCCTGACCAGTCGCAGCGGAGTCACCCCTGAGAGGGCCTTTGCCTTCCTTCCTGGCCAGTTAGGAATTCAGACGCCGGCCGGGGCACGAGGATGCGAGACCGAGCTGCCCCCCAAAGAGGAGAAGCCGGACAGCAGCCCCCAAAAGGGGTTCGCGTCCATCACCATTACGGCCAGGCGTGTGGGTCCCCCAGCCAGCACCCTGGTGTGGGGGGCTGTGGGGGATGCGCTGTGCACCAAGTGCAGGGCCCAGGACCCTCTGCTCAGGGACCCCTCTGCTCTGGCTGGCGGAGCCCATCCAAGTCGGCACCACGGACCTTTTGCCTGCACGGAACCCCCCAGAAACAGCTCTGTGATGAGGCTGAAGTTCCCCGAGGCCCACGTGCAGCTGTGTGACGGACACCAGTACTGGGCCCCCAACGTGGATCACCGAGGGAACAGGCTTCCTCCAGGCCCCCCGCAGCCCAGAAAGAGCCCGCTGCTGTTCAGCTCCTGCGTCCACCTCAGGGTGTCCCAGCAGTGTCCGAACGCCATCTACTACCTGGACAGGCCCCTCTCTGTCCCCATTGAGCAAACACCACTGGCCGGCCCCAAGGTGCACAGATCGGTCCTGTCCCTCCACCTCAACTGCAGTTCCCACAGACTGACACCAGATGGGGCAGGCGGCACAGCCAACGGAGGGCCAATCAGCACCCTGAAGCCTCCGCTCCCCGAGGGAGGCCCTGGCCTCCTGGGCCCGCGCTGGACCCCGGCTGTGCAGCCCTCTCTGGGGCGGCTGCATTTGGGGACCCGCACGTGTCCTTGGAGCGGCTCCCCTCCATTGAAAAACGCAGAACTCGCCCCCGGGGGAGCTCAGCAGATCACTGTCAGGAAAGGGAAGGAGGCCTCTGCACCGTGTGGTCACAGCGGCGTTCACGCCAAGCAGCTGTCCATTCATATCCCTGGCTGGAGTTACAGGGCAGGTGAGTGAGGCTCCCATCCCTGGGTGGAGGAGGGGCGCGCGCCCCACCAGGTGCTCACGTAAGGGCCCTGCCAAGGTGGACAGGGAGTCCCTTCTCCTCCTCTGCTCACTCCGAGGAGCTGCCCTGGAGGGGCTGTCTCCTGGGCTGCGCTCCCAGGTGGCGGCGACCTCGGGGCAGAGTCGGCGCTGCATGCGTTTCCCCAGGGATGCTCTCGTGCCTGGGGAGAGACTTCCCCCACAGCCGCGTCCACAGTAACACTTCCAGACCTGACCTAACGCGTAGAAAACAGTAGCCCCCACATCCTGCCAGCTGAGGCCTGCGTCATTCCACACCAGGCCGGGAGGGACAGGCTGCCACCCACCCCGGAGTGTCTGCCTCTCCAAGGTGCCCAGCGCGCTGCCCTTTCTGCTGCTCCATCAGATCGTCGATGCGATGTGTACGGGCCAGCTCTGTAAGTGAGCAAGGGAGTGAGTGCGCATGAGCAGCAATTAGGGAACATTGTCAAAATGAAGCCAGTCTGGGGCCTCTCCATGCCGAGCAGCGGGAGCCCAGTTTTCTGTTTCGTCAGTTGTGTTTTCTGGGGGCGGCTTGGCCGGGACCTTTGGCCGCGTCTGCGGGGCCTGCGGGGCAGGGCCCTCGAGGCCAGCGGGGCACCTGCCCTACCTGGGAGGTCAGGGAGGGCGAGCAGGCCTCAGGCCAGGGGGCCCCCTTGCTCTGTGCCAACTTCCAATTTCCTGCTTTACCTTCTGCGAGATGCTCTGGTTTATGAATTAACGACTTGCCACTCAGGGGGAAATATTTAAAGATAACAGCAGTCAAATTGAAAATGCAGCATATGTGTGATGATTTTATGGTGCAATTTCTGTCCATTACAGCTTTACTAATTAATAAAAATGACGGTAAAACATTTTAAGGCCGTAACGGGTGCAGAAGTATTAGAGGATATAATTAACAAGTGTACATATATTGAATGCTCAGAGGTTGGTAAGGCAATCCGACACAGCTCCCGGATGGGTTAGGCCGTGGGAATGCGGAGTCGTGTAGATGCAGTGCAGGGCGAGAGGCGGCAGCAGAGTCAGGGCCGCTAGCATGGGCCCCCTGTGAGTATTTTAAGAACTCGCTGAAGCCGACCAACTTCCTCTTCCTTGGTGATGAAGGTTCCGGAAATATATGACCTACATTGTTGTAAGCTCCCTGTCGAAGCACATTCTCATCTCTGTGTTTCATGCTGTGAAATAATGAAATAATAACGTGGATTTATGGCATTTTCACCAAAGAAGCTTTCAGATCCCTAGAGCTGGGTCTCAAACCTCCGTCCCACGGAAAGGCATGTGTGCAGAGAAAACTGCCCCGCGGGTTTCTGGCTTTGGCACAGAGGCTATTGGCTGCAACTGTGTAGCTGGCTGTCTTAGGCAGGGAATCGGAGTTCACGCGACGTTCCTGGGTTGCCCTCCCACCGAGGAGCACTCTTGTCCCAGAGGGTCACTTGTGGGGCACTTCAACAGCCATGAAGCCCGTGGCCTTGTTTGGCCATTTGGGGACAGAGGTGTTCACGGAAGCCAGGTCACCTTTTTTTAGAGCTGCTGATCTGTTATGTTCCGGCCCAGCGATTGGGGACAAGCCACACGAGGTCTCCAGGCTGTCTCCCCGTCTGGGTAACTGGAGAGAGGGTGCATTTGGTGCCCTTGGAGGTCCCGAGAAGCTTGAGGACATTTCTGCTCTATTTGCCTGCACTGCCACTTGTGAGAAAAAGAGGTTCCAGGTGATGCCAGTCCCTTGCCCTAAAGTTCCAAACTGCAGAACCTTGGGCTCAGCGTTTGGGGCACGTGCCTCAAACACCAGGCGGGGCCAAAGAAGGTTTACAGTGGTTCGTGTGGAAAATAAAACAATAATTAATTAATAAATATAATAATACAAGGATAAACTTGGAGTCACATACAACTGTAAACCTGCTTTTGCCCCACCCCCAACGTACAAATGTGCACACACCCGCATCCCTGTGCCTGGGTGCTCTCTCCCTCAAAACTAATTTGCAGTGAGATGCACCTCTTCCCAGGTAACAAGAGACACTTCTTGTCCATGCTGTGGAACTCCCGCCGCCATTTATAAGCACGGCTCGCGCCCTCTGACTGCAGCCGCCTGTCGCAGCTCAGTCCACCCAGCACTTTCAGGGGGAGCTCGCTGGCCTTCGGTCTGGGCAAAGCTCTTCAGCCTTGATGCAGGCGCCTTCCCGGCAGCGACAGTGCTCGCTGAAACTCCGAGATCTGCCGGTGTTTTCCTTCCGGGGGCTGCAGCCTTGGGGAGGCCTCCGTGCCAGCCCCCCGGGACGACAGCCCATGCCGTCGGGGGCATCACCCTTCAGTTGCCGAGGCTGATTCCCTTCACCTGGAGGGTTTCCAAACACCGCAGGACTAGCATCCTATCTAGCCAGCCCCTGACATCCAGCTGCAAGGTAGGGGCAGCCTCGGAGCTTCTCTGAAGGAGGTGAGGCGGTCTCAGCGCTGGTCATTAGGCGGTCAGAGAGGAGTCCCACGCACTCTTCCTGAATGAGCCTCTGGGACGCGCACCCAGGAGGTGACTAGGAGTCAGGAAGAGGGACTCTTACACTCTGCAGTGCCGGTCGGCTGAGACTCCCAGGGCGGAGTGTGCTCGCGGACGCAGGGTGCCTGTTCTCTTTTCAGGGGCTGGGAGCACAGGACTCGGCTCCCCCTGGGCTCACCTCTTCTCTCCCTGCGTGTCTATTTCTTGCCTCTTCACTGTTAGTAAGCGTCCTGCCAGCGCCTGATACATGGGCGTTGTGCAAACGCCTGCGCATGCTGCAAGGGAAAGTTTCGCCATCCTTATTGCCATTGTTGTCATTGTCATCATCATCATCATCATCCTACCAACAGCCACACCGTGAAATCCGAGATGCCCAGCCCTGGCCTACACCCACTGTACCCGTTACTTCGAACCATTCAAGCCATCCTGTAAAGAGAGTGTCATTATCCCTATTTTGTAGGTAAGACAAGTGAGGCTTGACCCTTAATTGACTTGCCCGAGCCCATGTGGCCTCAGGTGCCAGAGCTGAGAACAGCTCTGGCCCCTACTGTGTCCTTCTCAGGGACAGCCTCAAGCATGGCCCTGTCTCCACTGTCACAATCAAAGGTGCTGTTTGAAGGCCAGTCGTGGACGTGAGGAGTAACGCCTGTATTCGGTGGATAGCTATCCTAGTAGAACGTATTAGGAGAGTGAGCTCCACAGTTAATGTGTAATTTCACTTGACACAGGGGAAATTTAGTGGCTCAGAAATCCTTCCCAGCCTGAAATCTCACTCTCCGCCATGCGCTACAGGACACACAGCCTTGACCCAAACGGTTCCCTGCCCACTGCGTGTTGTGTGCCTACAACAGCGCCGGCTTCGATCTGTCACTCGCTGCCAATTTCATTTTGCATTCCATGCCTGGACCTGAGCTCCCCCCCCCGCCGCCCCGATCCTGAGACATCCAAGCAGGTGGAACAAAACCCCATGACTTTGTTAGATGCTTTTGGAGAAGAGACTGAACAGCGCCATTCTTGGCCGCATCCTTTCCCCCGAAGCGTGGGTGTTCTGAGGCGGACCCTCTGCCTGAGACTGCCCCGGTCCGGGCGCAGGCTGTGAGTGGCGTAGGTCCCAGAAGTCTCCCGTGGAACAGTGTCACCGGTGATGAAAGACGAGGAAGTGCGGAGGGGAAGAATTCCAAAGGGACTTCCTTGCGGGGTCACCGGATGAGTGCCGTGTCTCCCGGGGTTCTGCCACTCGACTCTACCCCAGCAGCAGTGAGTGGGGTTTGTCTCATGCAGCGAGCTGGGGCGCCACTCAAGGAAACGGGATGTCACAGGCTGCGTTTGTCTGGGACGAGCCCACAGAGAGCCAGCCTTAGATTCAGCTGCGCGTGCAGTTTCCCTCTGGGTCTCTGCCACTTAGCACCGTGTCATAAATAGTTCCTGCTGTGAACCGTGCTTCGTGAAGATAGCTTTTATTGACTACAGTGATGTGCTTTATGGATATATCAACGTTGAACTATTTCTTCATTGTTTGTCCTTAAAGTTGTTACTCGTTTTTTACTTTTTGAAATGATAGTAATGTGAAGACTTGGCATACAAGGATTCTTCTGGGTGCTGGATGATTTCCTTTTGAAAAAAAAAGAAATCCTTGAGATGGAATGTGCAGGTCAGCAAGTATTAGCCTTTTTAAGGTTCTTGACTTGCAATGCCAAACGGGGCTCTGGGAAACGCCCGGGGAAGGCCCTTTCTAAATGCGCCTGCCACGGCAAGATGCCAATTCGCAAACCTCTGCAAAGTTCCGGATGAAAGATGGTGTTTGGCCGTGTTTGAGCTGGTGTCTCCATGATTGCTGGTGAAGGGGAAGGCTTTGCTTTACGTTCCTGCTTCTCACCTTGACCTTGGCCGTGGCTCTGAGAGCTTACTCAACACCTCCCCCCCGCTCCGTTGCCTTCCACTCTGGGCCTCAGTAGTGTCAGCGCACGGGGCCAGGTAACTTTCTGTAGCGCGTTGGGGGGTGTTTAACAGCATCCTGAGCCTCTACCCATTAGATGCTACAGCCCCCCGCCCCGTTGTGACAAACGCAAATGTCCCCAGACATTATCTGGCTGGGGGGAGACAACAAAGTCACTCTTGGCTGAGGACCAATCGCCGCCCTGAGCCCAAGCCCCGCTACAGCCGTGGCTGTGGACCACCTGCTCGGCAGTGCCCCCCATTGTGACCGACCCTCAGTGCATCCTCTCAGCCTCAGCTCTCAAGTGCTGACTCCCTAGAATGTTATGGCCTTTCCACGTGATGAATTGTACTTGGGATGTTACCACAGCCCTTTCCTTCTCCTAGATGGTGCTGTCGCGGAGGTCGGGCTCCACGCCCGAGTCCCTGGCATCGGCCTCTCCCTGCCTAGTGCAGGGCGCTTACTCAGGGCCCGGGTGCCAGCTGGGCAACAGGCCATTCTGATGACCCAACAAAGCCTTGCT